AGGTGGCAGTGCCGTCGTGGGCTGCATGGCTGTTGAAACATGCGGCTCGCTGCTGGGCTTGATGGTCCGCGGTGGACGCAGCTGGGGCAGTGGCGTGGGTTTGAAAGAAAGCGCCGGGCGCACTTGGGCCCATGTTACGGTTTGGCGGTTGATTTCCGTGGGGGGCACTGCTCATGGCGGGCAGTGGGGGTTGATGGAGCGATGGTCGAAAGAGAGGTCAAGGAGGCGAGAGGGCGTGCGTGGGGAGAAATGGTGGGTGGTTTGGAATGGATCGGGAGGCAAAGGCAATGTGTAAGAGGGGAATGAGAAAGGCGAGGGTAAGGCAACGTTCTCAGAAGTGTATGTGCGCGTGTGTATGTGCGCGCGTGTGTGTGTGTGAGGGAGAGAGAGAGAGAGTGTGTGTGTGTGTGTGTGAGTGTGTGTGTGTGTGTGTGTGTGTGTGTGTGTGTGTGTGTGTGTGTGTGTGTGTGTGTGTGTGTGTGCGTGCGTGCGTCTGTGCGTGTGGCTGGCGTTTGGCGTTTGATATGCGCACGCGCAAAGCAGCCAAAAGGAAGTAATTCGCGGAGATGAACAAGGGCTGCGTGATTGGGCAAGTGGAACGGACAACAAGGAATGGGAACGAATGGAGTGGAAGTGGCGCTCACACTCACAACAGCACAACGACAGGGGGAAGGGTGTCGAAGGCGGTAAAGGAGGTCAAACGAATCGCAGGGGATTGAGAAATGTTGGGGCGTTGAGAAAGCAAGAGAGTGTGTGGAGAGCGAGAGAACAAGGTGGTGGTTATTGTTATGGGAGGTGCCGAACAGGCTACCAACGCACACACAAAGGAAGGGCAACAGATGAGCAGAAGGAAAACCGCGTGAAGGCAAGCAAAAAAGGCTGGCTGGGTGATGACACGTTGCTGCTTGACGTGGCGTGACACGCGAAAAAAATAGGGTGCGAGGTTGTGTGACGTCGTTCAGAAACACGGCCGTTCAAAACTCATCCCCGAAGGAAAAAAAATTGCACCGCCACAAAACACAACAATGAACAGGCGAACAAACAGGCAACAAGGTGCAAGTGCAGGTTGCTGTTGGTGGTGGCTGCTGCTGGGTGTTTGGTGATGCAGCCTGCAGATTGTGACCACGCGGTTGTGAAACGCTCACCTTGGCTCGTGTTTAGGGTTTTTTTGGGGCTCTGATGGCAGCAGCGGGGGAGGAAGCAGGCAAATGTGCGTGTGTGTTTGGTTTTGTGTGGGAGCGAACCCAGTGGTTGGTTGGTTTTGGTTGATGAGCAGAGAGATGAGATGGCGCGAGTGAAGGATGATTGACGGACAAAGATGATTGGCTGCTTTTGGCGGCTGCGTGAGCGAAATGGCTTGTTGCTTGCGTCTTGTGGGTTTTCAAAGTCAGGCCAGCTCACACAATCAGTCAAGTCGGCGGGTGCAAAATGGTGCGTGTGTGTGTGTGTGTGTGTGAGTGCTCTTGTATGTGTGGGTCAGGGGCAACGCTTGAAACGGACAAGCGGGAGAGAGCATCGGGGAAGCGAAACATCGGCCCTGACCAAAGCTAAATTCGCGTGCGCCCCGTTAATTTTTTTGTCGTTCTGACGTGGGAATCGCAGAAGATCATATGAAGATATTCGCAAAAATTTGGTTCCACGTCACATGACGTTGGCATGTTGGAGGCGCGCCATCACGTGCATGATTGGCGCGGAATCAGGTGCGTTGTGCGCGTGTGTGTGGTGGCGACACAATTGATTGTCTGTGTGTGTGTGTGTGTGCGTTGTGTGAGTGTGTGCGTTGTGAGTGTGTGTGCCATGCAGACAGGCCCACCTACACCACCTCCTTGTGCTGCTGCAGAGAGAGAGGTTGTATTGTGCTGTTACACGAGCACCACCACCACCACCAACACCGACAACAGCAGCAGCAAGAGAACACACAATCAAACAATCAAACAATCCAACAATCAACCAATCAAACAATCAGCCAAGCAGAAAGCAAGGCAACAGGACGCGAGCAGAACGGCAGGCAATTAAGGGCAACGCCATGCAGGTGATGTGATGATGTGATGGAGCACAACCTTGCAGTAAGCAACAACAAGCAACACAAACTCCAAATCTGAAACGACAGCGCGAACGAAAGAATGAATGGAAAGGAAAGGGACTGAATGACACAAGGCACACGTTTAGACACAGCGTGCACGAGCGTGCCTTGGTGGCAGCGAACGCAAGAACGCAACGCAAACGCGTGATGATGATGTGACATGACGAGGGTGGCATAAAAAATGAAACGGTATGTTGGTGGGAGGGGGGAGAGGGAGGAAGAGCTACTCTGCTGCCGCTGCTGCAATCGTTGGTAATGAATGGGTGCGAGGGGTTTCGTTGGTTGTTGTTGCTGTGGTGTGGTGCCGCTGCTGCTGGTGGTAGGTCGTGGCCTAGACGTCGGCCGGTCGTGCGATGAGTGGCGTGTATGCGGTTTGTCTCTTCGCATCAAGCAGATTCAAATGCTCGGCAAACACCCAGCTGATGATGCCCCATTTCGCCAACAGGAATCCCCACACCGCGTCAATGTAACTACTGGACCCAGTCAGCTTCTGCTTCTCTTCAATGGCTGCGCGCGCGTGTGTGCATGTGTGAGTGTGTGTGTGTGTGTGTGTGTGTGTGTGTGTGTGAAAGAGAGAGTGTGTGTGTGCGTGCATGTGTGCACATGTAAGTGTGCGTATGTATGCATGTGAGTGTGTGTGCGCAGAAAGTGTAACAAGGAGAACGAGCAGCGGGATGGCGGGAAGAACACGCTTCTCTCATGGACACACACACACATACACACACACACAAACATACACATACACACACATAAACGCACACACTGACAGACAGACGGACACACACCCACACGCTGACACCCACCCACACACATGCACGCACACGCTGGCAGACGCACACACATGCAGACACGCACACGCACACGCGCGCACCCATGCCTAATCCTGCAACCAGGGCAAAGAGGCCCAGGAGAAATGCAACCAGCCCTGCACACCATACCCATACATGCACACAGACCGCAGCTGAATGTGTGAAGAGTGGTTCGTTGACAGTGGCACTTACATTTTCACTGGACATGGTGCAACAACAGCGGTAGTGTCGACACACAGACACAGACAGAGAGACAGAGAGAGAGATAGAGAGACAGAGAGAGAGAGAAGGCAGAAGGGAGAGAAAGGAGAGTGAAAGGAGAGAGAGAGACAGAGAGACAGATACACAGACACACAGACACTCATACGCACCGACGAGCTTGAGGCCGCGATGATACGGCTCTGGTTGCCTGCGCTGTTTTGCCCGACTACTTCTGTGGTGTGCAACTGCAAAGCAAACGTCATGCATCCAATCGCAAAGGGAGGAGTCGTGAGGCTCAAGCATGGTAAGGACTGCAACACATTGCACGCACCACGCCCGATCACACACACGCATACACGTGCAAGCCTACATACACACATGTACACACGCACACACACACAAGAGCAGGCACACACACACAGACACAAACCAGTGCACGGTCTCACCTAGGTAGTTGAGGAGTGCAACGATGCCCTGAAGTATAGCTAGCGACACAGGCTGTTGGTCCATGGAGGTCATATGTAAGCGGATGAGATACAACAGATGAAGCAAGCAGGAGATGCGAGGGGTGAGGGTGAAGGAATAGCTGCACGCAAGAACGGCACTGCGATGGGCAAGGGCATACCTGACGCGTACGCACAAGTGCAAACACGAAAAACACATGCAAACATGCACACACATGGACACACATGGACACACATGCACACTGACACACACACACATGCACACACACTGACACTCACACACAACCACACACAACCACACACAACCACACACACAACCACACACACACACACACACACACACACACACACACACTCATACCCCCACACACACACTCACTCATACCCCCACACCCACACGCACAAACACACACCTGCCAGCGATGACCAAAGTTTGCTCCAAACGCAACAGCACCTGCAATGCCCACAACCACGCCAATGCCGGCCACGAGGCGCCTCACCACATATTTCTCGACCACCACCACCTCCACTGGCTGCGCCGCACCCTGTAAGTGCAGCGGCGCTGGTGGGTGGGGCGAAGTAGAGGAAGACACGCCAGCACCAGTCACACTGGCAGGTGTCCCCAGCCCACCACCACCACGACCAGCCGTGCTCGTCATCCTCAATCAATCACGCTGTGTGCAGTTGTGTGCGCAATGCGCGCAGTCGCAAAAGTGCTGACTCAGCAGAAACAATCCACTGCCGTCCTCCCGCCGCCCACAACACGCACTCCTCCTCTCACACAACAACACCTCAACACCTCTGCACACGCACCTCAACAGCTCTGCACACAACAACACCTCCTCTCGGCTCCCTTCGCGTGTCTTCCCCCCACCTGTCACCTACCTGTGTTGCGCGCATTGTGGAGCATGGCTCGGTTTCGTGCGGCAATCCCGCTGATCGCGTGTGGCATCGCCATCACCACCATCATCCTCTGCTTCATCATCTCCCAGTCCTTGGGGCATGACACGGGCGGCCTCACGTGCGTTCTGCTCGCACGCCACTGCTTGTTGTGTACTCAACCATCGTCGCCCCAATCCCTCATCCTCTGCTTGCCATCATCCTCTGCTTGCCATTGTGCCTGCCACTGGACATGCTGCGGCCGCACCAGTGTGATGTGCCTGCCACTCATCTCACAATCTCCATCCTCCCCAACCCCCCCCCGGGCCTCTTCACGCGATTATTCGAACGCACTCATCGATCGCACATCCAGGTGGCCGTATGTGAGCGACACGGGACGTGACGATCCAGAGCACATCGTGTTTGCCATCGGTCAGTTGACTTGGCATGCCAACTGTGTTCGCTCCTTACTTGGCATGGCTTTCGTGTGGCAATATCACCAGTGCGTATGTGTGTGTTCTCCTCGCCATCGCGGCTTCCTCATTCTGTTTTGTGTCGCCCCTCACACTTACTGTGTCACGCATGCGTGTAGGTCTGACGGTGGCAGCCGTGTTCTACGTGGTGACCTGGAAGATTGTTGTTCAGTATGTGCGCAGCCTCTTCAGTGACGACGAGTTTACTGGGGGTGTCAAGTGAGTGCGCCACATCCAAGACGTGTGCATGTGTGATGCTGCTCCGCACGCTGGGTGACAAGCTCACTGCACCTTGTCGGCGTTGGTTCCAGTACTCTCCTCCCCACACCCGCTGCTTTGAACATCGCTGCGCCCCATCGCGCAACAGTTTAACGTGAGGAGGTGCGCGTGGCCCGTTTCATGCTCAGGTTTGCGCTCGGAGCTGTTCTCGTGTTGCAGATCCTTGCAGCCATCGGTCTTGCTCTCCTCGCCATCTTTGACACGCTCGACTACCCAACAGTCCACCTCATCAGGTGCCCACGATCGTTTGCTTGTGAATGTGACCATGCATGTGCGCTTGGCTATACCTTTGTGTGTGTGTGTGTGTGTGTGTGTGTGTGTGTGTGTGTGTGTGTGTGTGTGTGTGTGTGTGTGTGTGTGTGTGTGT